CCTTTCCCCCCCCCCCCCCCCCCCCCCCCAACCTCCCCATCCAGTGGGATTTTTAAAGGAACCCCAAAATAAGATAAAGCATCTATCTCAGAGTAGCACTGCAAGTACTTTTCTTCCTTCAGCTTGCTTTCAGCAGCAGAGACTGTCCAGGCTGGTCAGAGCAGCCCAGAGAGAGACAAAAGACTCATGTCGTACAAATAATCACTCGCAATAATAAGGGCATTGCTCAGTAGCAGATATTGAGAATTGCAATACCTCCATGGTATCAGTATGTCCCCATCACTAGTGGGTATTAGATACACCCCTCCAGTTATCATAGCAACAGTGTTATATCCATCTGTTCACCGTCAGAGCTGACAGTAGTTTAACAGCGTTGCTTGTCTTTTACAATCAGATTAAGACGGTTTTGGCAGCCAGGCATACTTTGATTCTAAATAGACACAACTTCTAATGAGAGCTCATCCGCGTTTAAATTTTCTAGCTTCTAGCATGGCCAGTGGATGCTCCAGAGACTGTGACTATGGTCACCATCGCTCCAGATTTTCACGGTGTTCATAGTGGCTGCATCACCAACCTGAAGAAATACACTACTTACTATGCATCGGTTCTGTGTTTCACCACACCTGGCGATGGACCACGAAGCACACCCCAGCTCCTGCGCACCCTTGAAGACAGTGAGTAGTCAGCACTGGTAGAGAATCTCAGTGCTCGGGTTTTGTTTGGTTGGATATAGAAGCCAGAATTTTCAAATCTGGGCGCTTAAAATTGGACCTCAGGTTCACAATCAGTTTGCACTCTCTTGTCAAGTTACTTTGCATCAGACAATGACCTCAGCCAGTTGTCCATGTGTGTTCCTTTAGCCTGTGGCAAATGAATGATATTTGATTTTTTTTTTTCATTATGGACTAAACCTGGATGAATTTTTTTACACTGGTCAGAAGCTGAAAGCTTCATAGTCTGGTTCAGCTAACACACAAAGCATTGTTTATGTCTGTGAACACTTATGCTTCTAAATCCATGTTCAGGCATCCAAATAAATATGAATTGATCTTCTTAGGTACTGAGCACTGGAACTTCCTGTGGAGGTCAGTGATTAATTTAGGATTGTTTCCTTTTGTTATCCAATATATTGAAAATGTCTGTATCTATATTATATTGCAAGTGTTTGTATAAAAGAGCCACGACTGTAACAATGTGGTAACTTTTATTCTGCAAAACTGAAGTCAGGATGAAATAAAATGGGCTGGATAGTTTAGCATATAAATCACTTCCTGAATCAGAAAATGTTTTGGCCTCTGTGGTCCTTTGGAAGTGTTTGCTCAAGACATATTTGGGACTAACAAGTCTAGCATATGTCTGATGCAGATAACTAAATTGCAGTGGCCCTCGTAGCTAACTGTGTGTCCACAGTGATCTTGGCTCTGGCCAGCACTTCAGTATCTTCCTGTCACAGAGCATCATAAACACTGCTGCACGTTTACAGATCCAAATCAGAATAAAAAAATGCCTAATACATTCATTAAGGTATTGTTTTTAGAAATACTACTTTGCCTTAATAGGGATGTTTTAGGTTAGTCAATGTTCCCATAAAGAAAAATCTGATTATCATTAACATTCACAGAAGCGAGGCTCAAAGTGCTAATCTAATTTTTCATGAGATACTTTTGAAAGAACGTGAAGAAAATTAAATACTTTCCCCATGGATTTTCCTTTTGTGGTTATTCTCCTCCATATGCTGTGCCCCAAAAGCAGGTTGTAGACTTAAACCTTTGCTTGTTAGAAGATTACAGAGACAGCAATTTAACTACCAGAAATCTATGTGAACCATCAATACGAGCTCATACATGTTTATCTGGGGTTAAAGCAAAAGGCGAGAAACATGCGTTAGGTTCTTACGTGTAGTATTAACTTTTTTGCCTGTTTTCCTAAGGAAATGAAGCTTTTGACAATGATGATTTGTAAATGTATTTGACTGTCTGTCTTAGGTCCATCTGTCTTTCTTCCTCCAACGACATTTGAACCCTGTGGCTAATTTCAGTGAGCACAGAAGAGTAAGAAACCAAAGATACGAGACTCCTAAGATTTCGCAAAAAATTAATCAGCTGGGAAGAGGAAGGAGAATATTAATATTTCTGCTGAAGAGAAGGCTGCAGAAATGAGCCTTAAAGACTTTGTGCAAAGTGGGAGAAAGGGCACAGTCAAGGCTTTGGGAGTATCTCAGGGAAATGTTGGGATCACATGCCATTTTAAACACAAGAAAATTCCATCATAAAACATAAACCGAGGAAAAGCCAGACTTGCATTTTGTAAAACATTTAAAACATTTCTTAGTGTATGCAGCTGTTGGCTACAAGGAGCTTCAGCAGTAGAGATGAGCAGGATTTTTTTTTTTTTTTTTTTTTTAAAAATTCAGAATTTCTTTCCTTGCTTTTCATGGTGACTGAGAAGTTAAGTGCAGGATGGTATAATGCATCTTTGTGGAGAACTCGTTGAATCTAAGTTGCTTCAGGATTTATGTGGTGCAAAAAAAGATTCAAAAGGACTGTCATTCATGTTCTCAGGCAATAATTTTCTGTCTGTATAGCAAAGTTAGGCAATCCTTTAGGAAAAAAAATAGTGCAGACAGATTTGTGTCCTGATGAACTGTGGGTCAAATAAAATCTGACATCCAGGCAGAAGCAATGTGTCCTGGCTTGGAGTAACCTGCACGTGTTTTTCATTATGACATTAAAATTGGACTGCAACTGCAGGAGCTAGTTGGAGTAAAGCTTTGTGAGTATGCGGTTTGCATGTCTGTGGATACATGGTCCCGAATAGTGCATAATTGCTGTGATCTTGTTGGGTATTCCTGAGATCGCTACCAGATCAGCAATTCTTTCTGTAATGCTTTGACTACTAGATATCACAGAATGGATTTGGAAGTTTTCCTCACTAGGATTGCAGAATTGCAAATGTGGTTGTAGCCTGACCTACTGGCAGGCTTTTTTTTTTATCATAGCTGGAGGGGAATGAGAAACTGGACTAAAGTGAAGAGGAAACAAAATATGAAATTGCAGACGAGAAATTGCCAACTGATGTCAGTGGAGCTGGAGGATACTCGGGCAGGGATCCAATGACAGAAGCACAGTGAATATCAAGTGAACAAAAACTCCTTTTTCCAGTACATCAATTGAAGACAGAACAGCAGTTGGATCAAAAATCAGTCAGGATGTCTTCCTTGAAGATCAAAATTGAGGGAGGATGGCATATTCTTGACAGTCATTCCATTTTATGCTCTTTCATTGCACACTAGGGAGCTGAAATTTTTAAGAGCTCTTGAGCTACATCATAAAAATCCTTTAAAAGTCTCACACACTTGTATTCATTTTACAGAAGACAGTTGCCATTATGTTGGACATTTTTAGAGTTGTTTTGAGAGAATCTATCCAAGCAGTGGCTTGGTGACTCTGTCCTTGCTTTGACCTTGCATAGGCAAAAGGCTCTTTCCAGGTGAGGGGGTGCTGGTGGTGTTGCTACAAACTTAAGGCCAGATAAGCTACACATAGCAGCACAGGTAAACGCCGCACACCATCGTTGAGGGAAACATCAAATGCAATCGCTTCCAGGATTGCCAGCTTGATTGTTCTAATTAGATTAGATCAAGAAGAAAGGCAGAGAACAAGTTGCATGCAAGTCTCCTGCTGCTACTCTCTTTGGTTCTCTGCACAGTTAGGATGATGGCTGGATAAAATAATTTATGTGATGTGCTTCTTAACACCTTGCATTCTCCCCTCTCCCCTGCAGCTCTCACGGATGTTTTCAGCAGGCTTCCCTTGGCCCTGGCTCAGTGTTTTATTTCTTCAGCCGTAACCTTGCCACATGAATCAGATCAAAAGTACGGGGGGTTCTGTTAACAGATTTCCTTTTCTGATTGCCAGAGCCAGGAGCGGTGGGACACCTGAGTTTCACTGAGATTCTGGACACGTCTCTCAAGGTCAGCTGGCAAGAACCTGTTGAGAAAAATGGCATCATTACAGGCGAGTATCAGCTGGTATCTCCTTTTTTTTTTAATTTTTTTAAATGTGTGTATCATTGCAGTGAAAAAATGTTTGTGTAATAGAGCATTTAGGAAGAACTGGCTACTGCGAGCGCTGGTTTCCTAGTCCCTCTTTTGGGTAATTGAAAAGTCAGCTAGGGCACGTTATAGAAAGTACGGGTCCAATTACTGGCAGCTCATGATTGTGGTCACTGAAAGGACAGTCTGTATTAGAAATCAGCTCCCCATGGAGTTTCTGGTCTTGTTAAATCTTCCGTGACCTCCACCTGTGTCACTAAATTTCTGAAACTTTGTGAGACAGTGTTTGGCCTTTGCCCCAAAGGTGGGGGGTTCCTACATGGAGTTTGCAGCTGCAAAATCTGGATTGGCATTGCTAAGATTTGCAATCAAGACCAAGCCTGAAATCAGCGGTATCCTTCATCTGTGATCAAGTGGTCTGGCTGTGGACTGCGTGACAGAATTTGCATGTCATTACTTAATTTTGTATAAACCATCACAAGGGTTCAGAACTCTCTTGTTTCTCTTTGATGAGCTTGCCATTTGACAAGCTATTTATCTATTTACTGTATGCCAGTGTAGATACAACATCAGCAACTTCAATATTTTTCATAAAGGAAGCTATTAATAGTTGAGAAAAGCTCTAGTTCTTATCAACAGAGGCAATATTGTTTTCAGATGGGAAACTATTACAGCTGCACAGGATGGACATTCCATTTAACAAAGGCTTTCAAGGTTCTGATGTGCAGAAAAGCTCCCAAATTTTAAATTACTGGAGCTAAAAATCATAGTTGGAAAGGGAGAAGATCATTTCACATGGATCAACGTATTTTGTTTTGCGAGCATTGACATTGAAATGTTTAATTTTCTTTTTTTTTTTTTTTAAATTGTATTAGAATATTTAAAAACAAAATACATTTTAGGACTTAAAAAAAAAAATCAGACTTTCTGGCCCTTGAACATTGAAATGTTATATCAGTCTAATTTCCTGAAGCATTTTAACTTTGACAGGTCTAATTATTTTGATAGGACTTGCACTTGTGAGTGTTTTCTCTGTGTATCTGTGACATGCACCATTTGTCCATGTGTCTTCCGTGCTGTTTATAGTATATGTGGAGTCCTGTCCTGGTTTCGCCTGGGATAGAGTTAATTTTCTTCCTAGTAGCTGGTACAGTGCTGTGTTTTGGATTTAGGATGAGAACAATGTTGATAACACACTGATGTTTTAGTTGTTGCTGAGCAGTGCTTACACTAGTCAAGGACTTTTCAGCTTCCCATGCTCTACCGACTGAGAAGGCTGGGGGTGCACAAGAAGCTGGGAGGGGGCACAGCCAGGACAGCTGACCCCAACTGGCCAAAGGGACATTCCATACCATGGGACGTCATGCTCAGTAC